CCCACAGTATCTCCATGACCAGACTGGACATATTGAATGTGCCCCAGAGTATCTCCATGACCAGACTGGACCATTGACAGACCCAGAGAGTATCTCCATGACCAGACTGGACATATTGAATGTGCCCCACAGTATCTCCATGACCAGACTGGACATATTGAATGTGCCCCAGAGTATCTCCATGACCAGACTTGACCATTGACAGACCCAGAGAGTATCTCCATGACCAGACTGGACATATTGAATGTGCCCCAGAGTATCTCCATGACCAGACTGGACCATTGACAGACCCAGAGAGTATCTCCATGACCAGACTGGAGCATTGACAGACCCAGAGAGTATCTCCATGACCAGACTGGACATATTGAATGTAACCCACAGTATCTCCATGACCAGACTGGACATATTGAATGTGCCCCAGAGTATCTCCATGACCAGACTGGACCATTGACAGACCCAGAGAGTATCTCCATGACCAGACTGGACATATTGAATGTGCCCCAGAGTATCTCCATGACCAGACTGGACCATTGACTGACCCAGAGAGTATCTCCATGACCAGACTGGACTATTGACTGTGTAACACGAGAGTATCTCCATGACCAGACTGGACATATTGAATGTGCCCCAGAGTATCTCCATGACCAGACTGGACCATTGACTGACCCAGAGAGTATCTCCATGACCAGACTTGACCATTGACCGTGTAACACGAGAGCATCTCCATGACCAGACTTGACCATTGACTGTGTAACACGAGAGCATCTCCATGACCAGACTTGACCATTGACCGTGTAACACGAGAGCATCTCCATGACCAGACTTGACCATTGACCGTGTAACACGAGAGCATCCCCATGACCAGACTTGACCATTGACCGTGTAACACGAGAGCATCTCCATGACCAGACTTGAACATTGACTGTGTAACACGAGAGCATCCCCATGACCAGACTTGACCATTGACTGTGTAACACGAGAGCATCTCCATGACCAGACTTGACCATTGACTGTGTAACACGAGAGAATCTCCATGACCAGACTGGACCATTGACTGTGTAACACGAGAGCATCTCCATGACCAGACTGGACCATTGACTGTGTAACACGAGAGCATCTCCATGACCAGACTGGACCATTGACTGTGTAACACGAGAGAATCTCCATGACCAGACTTGACCATTGACTGTGTAACACGAGAGAATCTCCATGACCAGACTTGACCATTGACTGTGTAACACGAGAGAATCTCCATGACCAGACTTGACCATTGACTGTGTAACACGAGAGAATCTCCATGACCAGACTTGACCATTGACTGTGTAACACGAGAGAATCTCCATGACCAGACTTGACCATTGACTGTGTAACACGAGAGAATCTCCATGACCAGACTTGACCATTGACTGTGTAACACGAGAGAATCTCCATGACCAGACTTGACCATTGACTGTGTAACACGAGAGAATCTCCATGACCAGACTTGACCATTGACTGTGTAACACGAGAGAATCTCCATGACCAGACTTGACCATTGACTGTGTAACACGAGAGAATCTCCATGACCAGACTTGACCATTGACTGTGTAACACGAGAGAATCTCCATGACCAGACTTGACCATTGACTGTGTAACACGAGAGAATCTCCATGACCAGACTTGACCATTGACTGTGTAACACGAGAGAATCTCCATGACCAGACTTGACCATTGACTGTGTAACACGAGAGAATCTCCATGACCAGACTTGACCATTGACTGTGTAACACGAGAGAATCTCCATGACCAGACTTGACCATTGACTGTGTAACACGAGAGAATCTCCATGACCAGACTTGACCATTGACTGTGTAACACGAGAGAATCTCCATGACCAGACTTGACCATTGACTGTGTAACACGAGAGAATCTCCATGACCAGACTTGACCATTGACTGTGTAACACGAGAGAATCTCCATGACCAGACTTGACCATTGACTGTGTAACACGAGAGAATCTCCATGACCAGACTTGACCATTGACTGTGTAACACGAGAGAATCTCCATGACCAGACTTGACCATTGACTGTGTAACACGAGAGAATCTCCATGACCAGACTTGACCATTGACTGTGTAACACGAGATAATCCCCATGACCAGACTTGACCATTGACTGTGTAACACGAGAGCATCCCCATGACCAGACTTGACCATTGACTGTGTAACACGAGGAGAATGAAGGGAATATTTCCGTCAAACCAGGGGCGCAAGTAAAGTTTTCTTAGGGTTGTGGGAGGGGGGTTGAGGGTGGACTACGTCAAAGTTTCTGGTGGCTTTTAAGAAGATAAGACCTCACTACGCCTGAACAGCTTAGGAAGATAAGACCTCACTACGCCTGAACAGCTTAGGAAGATAAGACCTCACTACGCCTGAACAGCTTAGTCTTAACAAAGTGCTAAACAATTATTACCATCATGTTTTTCTAATGAAACACCCTCCACCCTTTCCCAAAGAAAAAAAACAACACTTTAGTGATTAAATGCCTCAATATATAGAAGGGAAAAGTACGGGATCATAGCCTTGGCCATAGAAAGATTACGACACAAAGCCGTGGGAGGACTGTGCATTACGACACAAAGCCGTGGGAGGACTGTGCATTACGACACAAAGCCGTGGGACCTGACACGTAATGCTGTGTTTCGGCACCCTCCTGACACGTAAACGACACAAAGCCGTGGGAGGACTGTGCATTACGACACAAAGCCGTGGGAGGACTGTGCATTACGACACAAAGCCGTGGGAGGAATGTGCATTACGACACAAAGCCGTGGGAGGAATGTGCATTACGACACAAAGCCGTTTAAAGAATGTGCATTACGACACAAAGCCTTGGGAGGAATGTGCATTACGACACAAATCCGTGGGAGAAATGAGCATTACAACACAAAGCCGTTTGAGGAATGTGCATTACGACACAAAGCCTTGGAAGGAATGTGCATTACGACACAAAGCCGTTTGAGGAATGTGCATTACAAAACAAAGCCGAAGAAGGAATGTGCATTACGACACAAAGCCGTTTGAGGAATGTGCATTACAAAACAAAGCCGAAGAAGGAATGTGCATTAC